GGCACCTACCCAACATGCACACTGGGCTCAGGAGCCACCAGCTACACAGTCTGCAGAAACCCCCAGGGACCAGGGTTGGGCAGCATCTAAGAGTAGCTATAATTAGAACTTGAGGGGCCAGGGATCTGAATGGACAGGGCAGGCTCCTAAATGAACTCATGCAGCTAGGTGGCACTCCGTGTGTGTAGCCTGTGACTGCCCCTAACTGCAAGTGTCCCACTAAACCACAGAGCCTTCCAATGGGGTCTTTGCTGCTGGGGAGGGGGTTCCAGTGCATGCCAGTTACCATATGCCCACCTCGTAGGCCTGCAAAGATCAAGGGAGATGATGCCACAGTGCCAGCAACACCTTGCCCTCAACAGCTTGCTCAACCCATAAGGCTTCATTCACTTATCCCACCTGTACTTGAGGAACCCGAGACTGAGCAGGGTTAAGCCCAGATCAAGGTCACAGGCAGGAAGTGCGCAGGCCCACTGCACACACCTGGACCACCACACTCCTGCTCCATACAGGGGCATGCCCAGCTCACAAAGGGTTGGTGGAACCATAAGTCCTAGCAGAGCCAACCAGGATGTCCGAGTGCAGGTCTGAGTACCTGCCCCTTGGAGCAGCCCAGCCCGTAGTCCTGCCCATGCCTGCACATCAGTGTCCCTACCTAGTCTCCAGCAACTAAGGACAACAAAAGGACCTACGCACACACAAAATTAAGGGACTTTTAAGGTCAACGGAGGCTGCACAGGTTGAGGCGGATCATGGGAGGGATGTGCTAGGTACTGGGATCTGAGGGTCATCTGCTCCAGAGTTGCATTCTGAGTAGAAGAAAGTGATAAGGAGGACCCACTGGGGTCACTGCCCCATGCTGGGGCTCAGGAAGACACCCCAGCAAAATCACTGCCTTCCTTGTAACTCTGTTACCCCCATCCAGGCATCACCCGCTCATTACTACGTATCTGAGTGACCCCTTTTCTCTTCCTCCTGCCTAGAGGACAAGCTCCCTCCTCCTTGCAGAAAGTCCTCCAGTCCCCAAGCACTTTAGGGGGAAAATGTTCTTAATCAGTTCCCTTTTTGTCCCCTTAGTACAAAAGTACTACCTGGGGGCTGGCCAGATATCTCAGTAGACTAAAGCACATACTTAGGCAGGCACAGGGAACAGGGTTCGATCCCCATCATGCTATGCCAGCTCCACTCCCGGGGTATGTTGAGCTGGTGACAGACTGGGCATGGTGGTGCATGCATGTAAACCCAGTGCTTGGGAGGCTGAAAACAGGAGGATGACTATGAGTCCCATCTGGGTAGTGAGACCCTGTACTAAATATATTAAATAATAATAAAAAGTACTATTTGGACATTGTGGGAAAACTCAAGGATTTTTTTTTTTTTTTTTGAGGGGAGGGCTGGCTCAGGCTGCCTTAAGGGCAGGTCTGGTAAGGCATAGGGAGCTGGGGAATTGAACTATGGTCCCCTACGCCTGACTGGGTTTGCCTCAGCAGGCGCTTACAACAACTGCGCTAACCCACAAGCCCCCTTGTGGAAAGATTTAAAAATCAAATATGAAAAATAAGGGCCAGGGACATAGCTCAGCAGAATAAGTGCTTGCCTGGCAAAACACAAGGTCTTGAGTTCAATCCCTGGTACTGCAAATAAAAAAAGAAAAAAAAAAAAAAAAAGAAAGAAAAGCAAGACATACCCACAATCCTTTTCTCCTTTGTGGATCAGTGATACTCAGTGTTTCCTTGGTCATCGTGGAGGCAGGAAAAGCCATGGGATTCTCCTCAACCCTCCCACCACCTTTAGCAGACACAACACAGATGGGTGAGCCGAGGAACAGAAGGCACAGGAAACAGACCTCTGCTGTTCTACAGAAAGGGGCTGGCTTCCCATTGCCAATAGCTCACATGCACCTCCCAGAAGAACAATCAGTGCACCACAAGGGCCCAGTGTGAAGGCTCCCTGCAGCCTCTAACAGGCCCCCACTGCCAGGCCCGCCAGGCCCACCAGGCACCTGGGTTTTCCTGAAGTCACACTCGACCCCACTGCGGGAGGGGGCTCTGGGGACACACCAGCACCTCCAACCCAGCGGGCCTCTCTTGCCCTCGTGCTGCTCCTGCTGTCTCCTGCCATGGGGCCCCCGGCGTGCAGTTGCACTCAGGGTCCTCATTTCCCTGCAGTCCTCTGCCCCAGGCCCCAGTGCCCCCAGCCCTGGCCCTCAGCAAGCACTCTGCCTGTGCCCTCCCTGATTATCCCAATCTGGGTGCCAGCCTGGCTTTTTCCTGCCACATTCCCCCAGTGACCTTACCCTCTCTCGCATCTGTAGTCCCTCTGTGAGGACAGTCCCAGCACCAGTCTTGGGCCCCACCCTCCCACCTTATAGCACAGCAACAGTGGGGCTGGGGCCAAGGGCACCTCGGTCCACCTCCCACATACTGCATCAGCCCCACATGGACCCCCAAGGGGAGGAGCTCTGGCTGCAGAGCCAACCCCAGGTTCCATCAGGTGGCTCCTCCCTCCCCCAAAGCTCACTGCACTCAGGGAAGTGCTGGCCCAACACCTGGCATGGGGAGCACCACAGGCGCAGGGGCAGCATAGCCCAAGGGGCCACATGTGGCCTCAGCAGAGCCTGAAACGGGGAAGAGCCCTTGAGGGGTGAAGGGTTCTAGGCACACGGCCAAGCTGCTCAGTGGTCAAGAAAGTTTAGAGGCCAAACTTTAGAGTGGGTGAAGGCAGGGAGCCCAAGGCTGGAGCGCTGGAGTCCTCCTCACCTCCCACAAGCAGTGGTACACGTGTACGCACTTTCCCACCCCGGCTGTGAGCTCCCACTTACTCTCTCCCACTCCCACCCCACACCCTGCAAGCCTCGTCAGGACCTACTGAGCCCCCAATGGTGGCATCAGGTGGAGTCCTTCAGAGCTGCAGGGGCTGAGGGTACTTCCCACCTGCACACACTGGCCTCATGCTGCCCACCAAGGTAAACTGGTGAGCTCAGGCCTCACCCATGGTCACATGGTGGAAGGCTGCCCTCTGCCTGCCCAGGGCTCACCCCCTCTCCTCACCACTTTTGGAGCCCCTTCCCGACCCCAGTCCCTTCCCACTCTCTTCCTCTGCTCTTCTTGGAGAAGCTCCTGGGAAGGAGCCCTGCCAGGAACCCCACTCTGGGTCTGGTCAAACGCTGGTAGGCTAATCAGGATGGAGCTCACACATTAATCTCGTGCCTTCCTTTCCATGCTCCTCGGCTGGGGCATCTCCTGAGGGTCACCCCCTCTCAGCACAAACTCCATAATGACCTCGCCCCATCACCTTCATAGCCTGCCCTGTGCTACACCAGAACCCTTCAGCCCCCTACCCTGGGGGGCAGACCTGTAACATAAGCCCATGCCACTTCCCTGCATAGGGCTGCAGGTTACACATGCCAGCCAGGGGCTCTTGGTTGCTCCTGCAGCTCTCACTCCCTGCAACAGCCCAATGGGACCCCTGCCACTCCTGACACCCTGGACCATCTACACCCATGCTCAGTTGTGGGCATAGGCCCCCAACAGCCAGTCTCCTGCCTACCACCCTGCAGCACAAATATGAGCCTGAACTCCAACTTCTCCCAGCCAGGCTGTGTCTTCAAGGTCTTTCCTAACCTCCGGCCTAAGAAGCTGCATCCTTCTGCACCCTCTGCCTAACAGTTGTGCCCATCTTCAGAACACAAGTGTTTAGGCTCAGCACCAACCCACACCTCCTTCAGGGCCTGCACTGTCCCATCCTCCTCCCAGGAAAACCAACCCAACTGAAACACCTCAAGCCCCATACATACACTGTGGCCTACAAGGAAGGGAACAAGTGGGACAAAGTGACACAGAGATGAAACAAGAATGTGACAGGAAGATGTGCCTCACACACATGACAGGTGCAAACAGAGGCTTTAATCCAAACAGCAATATAGGTGCAGGGGTGGCGCCCAGGGGAACAGGGAGCCGGGAGGGAGAGGGTCTGGCCCAGAAGGAAGCTGCACCAGCCTCTCTAGAATCTATGCTTGGGGACTCCAGACCCTATCCCAATCTCTGCCTGGACTACCACTGGCTGAGGTTGTGCCCTCCCCAAAGGCTCCAAGACCCAGACCCAGGAAGCGGGTAAAAAAAGGGTAGAAGGTAAGGCAGGGCAGGGCAGGAGGAAGTGGGAAGGCACCCACCAGTGCCCCATCTTGTGCCCTTTGGCCCAGCCCAGCACTCACAGCCATCCCTCACCCCATCCTGGCACAGGTGGGGAGACAAGGAAGCACCCAGTCACACCAGCACCCACCTGCCCAGGGGAGCAGAACAGACCAAGCACCCAGGGAAAGGCAGCAGCAAAGCAGTGGCAGAAGCAGCCAGGCCTGGAAGCCTGGAGGAATCAGCCCCAATCCCCTCCCTGAGTCTCAGCCACTCCTCCCTGCTGGCAAGTTCTAGGAGCTTCACACAATCCACTGAGCCCTCCCAGGAGCACGGATCCTACCCTAAAAGCAGCTGCCATAGCTGGGTTACCTCTGGGGAGGGAGAAATGTGGCTATGGCCAAACCAAGGGCCAGAGAACACAAAAGCCAAGCTGAAGCTCAGGGCCCAAGGGCAGCCTAGAGAAGGAACCTGGAAGGTTGTAGACCAGAACAAGCCACTCCACCACCCAGCGCACGGCTAGCCATCAGCCTCAACCTCTAGCCCACACCAGACATCCACTCACTTACTCAAACAGGGCCCAGAAGTGACCTGCCTGCAAGGAACAGAACCCAGCCCTCTAAGGCATGGGCAGCAAAAAGGAGAGAAAGCAGTGGAACAGCAGCATGGAGCTCCCCACCCCTGGTCTCCAAGGGGGACTGCAGGAGAGAAGGGAGGAAAGGGAGGCTGAGAACAGGAGTGGGGTCCTAGTCCCTCTCTTCTTGCCTGGCCACCAGAGGTCAGGACACTGGCCACACTTTGGTTACTTTTCCCCACCTGAGTCCTTCAGCCCTAATTGCTTGCCCCTCCTCACCCCCTCAGCACCCCACCCAGTAAACAGCCTCTCCTCAAATAGAAAGAATGGGGGTGGGGCTGGAGTCGGAAGGGCACAGGAACCCAGTCTGGGTAGCTCTGTGACTCAGGCCTCCTAGCTGGAGGTGACAGGGTGGATGGGCAGCAGGCTCCCAAACTTGAAGTGCTGGATCACAGGGAACTTCTCCAGGCACTGCGAAGAAAGGCAGAGCAGAGAGTGAGGGCCCAAACCAGAGCCATTCCACAGGGTGCCCAGTCAGAGTAACCCCGGACCTTCCAGAGGAGGGGACACCTATTTCTCCTGTTCCCCTTTCCAGTCAGACCCAAGCTACAAATTGGAAGCCAAGCCAGATGACAGCCAGCCAGTTATTACTTGACCCAGGGAAAAGTGAACCCAAGAGGTGAGAAGGACCTTCCTGACATGGTACTTTCAGCCTAGCCCCCATTCTGGCTTGGTGGTGAGGGCACCTTTGAAAACAGGTCTGAGCAGACAGGGCCCTTTTTCTCCAGTTTTCTGGGACCTGGACTAAAAAGGTAGCCTAGGCATTTCAGAGAAATAGGAGCCAGCTGACAGTCCCCAGGCTGTTCCTAGCAGCCCTGTGGGGGTTAGGGACACAGTACACTGATGGCTGAGCAGGGGTGGCGACCCTGAGCGCTGCTGAAAGGACAGGCCTGCCTGGGAGCTGGGTGGAGGCTATGGAGCCACTCCTCCCAATCTCTCTGCTCTCTGCCCCTGGCTCTCTGCAGGCAGCATGAGGCTGAATCCCATGCCAGACTGGGCTCCTCTCACACCTCCAGTTCAACATGCCTATTTCTGGCTGGGGTGCAACACAACAGGCCATGGCCAGCAGCACTCTCACCTAAGAGGGACAAAGTGGCGAGCAGCCCCACTTCCCTCACTCCAAAAACCAACTGCAGAACCAAGCAGGGAGTGTGTGTGTGTGTGGGGGGGGGGGCCTGGGTATTAGCAAGGCCAGAGGTGCCAGGAAAGCGGGGAGCAGGCTTCTGGAGTGGAGCAAGGGGTTGGAGCAATAGATCCAGGCCTGAGGCAAGGCAGCTGCCACTGTGCTGATATCATCCGGAAGTGGTGGGAGTTTGCACAGGGCCCCCCAGGGCCCTGAATTCCAGAAGGGGTCAAAAGTCAAGCTGCCTCCAGCTCTCACACTGCAGAAGTGGCAAAGGCAAGGGGGCAGGGGCTGAGGCCCCTCCACTCTGCTCTGCTGCCCTAGGGCCACAGGCAGCCAGGCTGGGGCACAGCAGAGGCACTGGCTGAGGGAGAGAAAGGAGAGGAAGTCTCCGTTCTGGGAAGGAAAAGCCTGCAGCACCATGGCCTCTCTCAGAGCTGTGGCACCTGGCAGAGGCAGGCTGGTTCATCCTGCTCCTCAGTGTCCCAGGACCAGGGCCCTGCACAGCAGGCCTGGAAGATAGACAGGCCCCACCACACAGGACCCATGAAGGTACCTGATCTTCACCTCAGGAAGACCAGGTCAGAGCCAGTGGTGGCCCACTCTAATCCCAGCATTCTGGGAGGCCGAGGCAGGAGAAGGGTAAGTTTAAACCCAGCCTGGTTAACTCTGGTTAACGCTGTCACTGTCTCTGTCTCTCTCCATGTGGTATACACATACAAGCACATACAGTGCCAGCGATGGATGTGTCTGAGACGTCAAGTTCACTCAGCAAAAATAATCTCCCTAGCCACCATCAGGATGCGCTTTCTCTCACATCCAAAAAGAGGGTCCATTTCCTACTAAGAGACTCTTATCTCCAAATAAGAAGAATTAAAAGGGCCAGGGCTGCAGTTTATATTGAAGACTCCGGGGTCAATCCTTAGTACTACAGGAAAAAATATATAAAAATAAAAACTGGGTTAGCATACTGGAAACACAAGGCAGTCCCAAATCCTGAAGCCACCTAACGCCTGCAAACTTAGGCCCTGCTGATCCCCTTGAACCTCAAGGCTGGGGTCCACAAAGAAGAACCAGTCAGAAAAGAGCATTCTTCCTGGGGCTTCGACCCCCGGGGGAGTGCTGAGCACCACTGAGACCTGGAGTCTGTAACCAAGTGAGGCATTCCCACAGCACACTACGAAGCAGTCTAGCTTCCACAGCACCAGGGCAGGCAAGCTTCCACCACCTGCGTACACAAGTGTGCAGTTTTCAGGAAGGACACTCTGGAATCCATGCAATTTCCAGCTGCAGCCCCTTTGCCACAAATCTGGTTCTGTGTGCTGCTGCACCAATTTTTTTTCCTCCAGCACTAGGGATAAAACTCAGGACCTCACACTGGCTAAGCAAGCCTTCTACAATTGAGCCACCTCCCCAACCCTTTTAATTTTTTTGAGACAAGGTCTTGCTAAGTTGTCCACAATGGCCTCAAGCTTGCCAGCCTTCTCCCTCAGGCTACTGGTCTGTAGCTCTTGCGCCTCTGGAAGGCAGACAGGACCAAGGAGCTATGGACCCCTCCCTTGCTGAGTCAGCCCCCAGCAGCAGGAGTGTCTCAAAGAGCGGCAGTGTGCCCTAGGAGCACAAGTGTGGAACAGCAGGGGGGTTTTATAGCAAGGACAAGACAGAGGGCAGTGACCTGGGTTCTCAGGACAGGGAGAACTGGGCGGGGCAGCTGCCCGGAAGCAGCCTGGGCAGCCCCACAAGGGAGGCTCAGATTAGAGAGGTATGTGGGCTGCAACCTAAACACAGGATGTGAAGTCCAGAGGAAGGGGACCAAGGGGGAGGGGCAGGGGAAAAGGGCCAGGCGGTCAGCACAGCAGTCCAGCACAGTTAACCCCTTCAAGGCAAGCATGGGAAGCCTCTCACTCCCTTCCTGCTGTCCTCCCAACTAGTGATGGAGGAGGAAGGAAAAAGACCTACAGCAGCCCTCCCAGAAAAGGAAGGAAGGAAGGGCACAAGTCAGGAGAGGCAGCCACAGCCTGAGACTACTCAGGAACTCAAAGGCTCAAACAGCCCAAGGTCAGAAACGAAACAAAAGGAGGCACTGTGGGGACTCATGGCTCCACTCCAGGTGAGTGGGGCACTGTACACCCAGGTCTTTCTCAAGAGGTGAGTAGAATGATATTTGTTCCCTTTTTGCAAAAGGGCAGAAGGCACCATGTAGACAAAGGGCAGCCGCCTCCCAGCAGGGGGAGCTCGGGGACCCAAGGCCTGCCCAGTCTCTATAGCCACCGGAAGTAGTCAAGTGCCAGCTCCAGCCTCCCCCAGGCCTCCACCTACCTGCAGCCGCACGCCACAGCTTGACAGCACCATTAGGACAATGCCTCCAGGAGGCCACTCCACTCCAAGAATGCTTGCTTCCTGTCACTATGGGAGACTCTACGATGCTGAGCTTGGAAGGGCCTTGGCAACTGTCGAGCCCGCTCCCAGCAGCAGAGGCCTGCATAGCCTCTGCACTAGTGAGGGCAAGACAGCCTCCTCTCAGCACTTTTTTGAGCCCCCCATGGGAGTGTCTGAGGTCCTAAGCATCAGAGGGCCACAGCAAAGCAGTGTCTCCCACCTGCCAAGCATGTCCGTCCACCCCACTCACCTCAGCCTTATACATGCGGATGAGACCTTGGTTGACCTTGGACCAGGAAGGGACTGCACTGATGTTCCACAGCTGGTTGGAGTGCTCTGCGAACGGCCCAGTCTTCATCTGGATGAGAGAGGCCATGGCTGGGGAAGGCCCTGCTTCCTGGAGCAGGCACTATCATCATCTCTCTCTCTCCCCATGTGGCACACACATACAAGCACACACAAGTGCCAGAGATGGATGTGTCTGAGACTTCAAGTTCATTGAGCAAAACTAACCCTCAGGATACCCCTTCTCTGACATCCAAAAAAGAGGTCCAATTCCTACTACCATCAAAGCTAGCAGCTATGGGAAAATAAAATCTCTCCCTAAGCCAGGTGTGGTGGCACACATTTGTAATCCCAGCACTTGGGAGGTTAAAGGAGGACTGCTATGAGTTGGAGTTCTTGGGCTACTTAAGAAAGTTCAAGGCCAGAACTACATTGCCAGATCCTGTCTATATATATATAAAAAAAAACCAAACAAACAAACAAAAAACAACCCTCTCCAGAGTCTCTAGTGTGGCTCCTCTAGCTCCCTCCAAGGCAGAACACCTATCTTGCCCAGCCCCACAGCAGGCCTGCTCTGCACCAGCCAGGCAGAGCTGACAACACAGAAGGGGGGGGGGGAGGGACATGGTGGGGCTGCTCTGTGCTTCGTGCATGGCAGGCAGTGGGAGGAACACAGGCACCAAAGTTAGGTAGGGAACTTGCAGGAAGATCTATTTATCCAGAAGGCCAGCCCACCCCAGTGTTAAGAGCCCAGGAGTGACAACCACAGCAGACACAGGACAGTCTGGCCAGGTTCCTCCTCTTGCTCAACAGGTTGAGCACCAGGAAGGAAGAGCAAGCTGTACAGCAAGCTCAGGGCAATTCCCATGACATCAGAAACCACAGTGCTAGAGACAGGACAGTTGTGTGCTTCTGCTGGAAGCTTCAGCACCTGGGCCTCAGGCTGCACAGAAAAAGGAAAAGAGGCTGCGTCTGGCAAGGAAGGAGACTTGGACCCAGAGTGGGTGGAAGGTTCCAGAAGTTGTGCAGGGAGGCCTGGGAGGAAGGGAGGCTGTTCTGGGAGAGGCAAAGTCTAAGCTCTGTCTCACAGTGGGGTGTGCTCACCAGAAGGTTCCCCATTACCCTGGGCCTTGCACTGTCCAGTAAGGGCAATGCTAGCTGAACTTTTCAGGTATGAGTCAAAAACCTGTCCCTGTCATTTCGTTTCCCTGTCTCAAGTCCTAGAGAGCTTGTCTCAGCCCTAGGTTTAGCAATAAGGACACAGACTTAAAGCAAGGGAGGATCTGGGTGCCCCTTTCCCCATCCCCCAAGGCTTGTCTTGGACAGCTCCTAGGCCCTAGACTCTCCCCCTCCCCCACAGGCCCGCCCCTTCCCAGGCTCCCAATCCCGGCTGTGCCCGCCCACTCCTATGAGGCTCAGGGACCTAGGCACTGTGGGGACTCCTCTCCATACCTAACCCCAGGGGGCACCCTGAGGGCTCCCAGCCCAGTACAGAAGCAGCTCCAGGGCTGCTCAGCAGGAGTCCCTGGCGAAGGGAGCACAGGAACACGGTTCCACCTTCTGCACCAGCACTGCCCGCAGGATCTGGGATGCACCCCAGAAGCCCCTCTGGCCTGCTGGCAAGGCCACACTGCACAGCCTCCTGCAGGCCGCAGCACCCTAGGTCCACCTACGTCCTTCAAAAGGTGACTGCAAATTGGGAAAACAGGCAAAGGGAAAAAGGAATCGGGGCGAGGAGACCCAAAAAACCAAAAACAAACAACAAAAAAAGAGCTCATTTTAGCCACAAAGGGAGAAGAGCAAGAGCCAGTGCGCAAGCAGGCTGCAGTCCCGCAGTGACCCCAGGGGAATCGTGAGTCAGAGCAGCCATATTGAGCAGGAAATTACTCACAGACGCTGCGTTCCTGCCTCTCCACTCCCCAGAGAATCGGCCTTTTGTAAATGGTTCCTCTGTCAGTAACGAGGGGGATGGGCCGGGTGGGGGAGGCTCTGCACAGCGCCTTCCTGTCAGCTCCTTCCCTTCCAGCTGAAATCTGATCCCTCCCTTTCCAAAACTCCAAATTTAGAAGCCAGACTGAAACTGAAATTCTTTTCCTGCCTGCCCTGGGCTCTTAAAGGCGCCGGGGCTGCATTTCCTGCAGCAGTAGAAGCCCTGTAGGGTGGGAGACAGTCACCCAGGATGCCCAGGTGACAGGGGGTCCAGTGGGAGCCTAGGCAGGAGGGCTGGCTGCCCCCCTCAGCTTCTCTGTGTCTTCCTTCACTTCCCGGTTACACCGAGCCACAATTTCCAGGTCTCCAGAGGCAACATCACGACCTTCCCAAGCAAAGAGCACAGAAGTCCCTGAGGGTACAAGAAGCCACTGGCTCACTGAGAGCTGCTGCCCACCTGGGGAAGGGCACAGAGTGTACTACCACCATCAACTGCACTTGCCCAGCCTCACCAGCTGGGGGGAGAGGAGGCCCTCAGACAGCACCTCCTGGGGCAGACCCTCCTAGCCCCAACACCGTGCGGGAGCCCCTAGGCCCAAAGTGAAAAGCCAAGCTTTGCAGAGAAGGTCCAACCCAAAACTACGCCTGCCTGCTGCGTTCTCCCCAAGGCTCGCAGTGAAATGGTACTGGAACCAGGGTTCAGCGTGCCTTTGGTGCCACCTAGTGGCCCCAAGGCCTGATTTCCTGCAGAGGACCAAGGTCTCCAATTAAGAGCTTTTGGGTTTCACATTAACCTAAGCAACCAACTAGTCTTAGCACAGAACAAATTCTCATAGATCCTGGAGTATGGTCTGGCTTGTCCCTTGTTAAAATCACTGCCAGGGACCCCAGGCGGAGTCCAAACAGCTCATCGCCAGCCTCAAATGGCAAGCTCAGTGTGGACTCTTGAGCCCCCACACTCCACCACAGAGCAGTGCGTGACTGGCTCTCAAGGCAGCAGCCAGGCTGCCCCCAGTCCTCACGACCTTGGGCTTGTGCCTCTGCTGAGGGCAGCAAATCTTGAGGAGGAAGCGGTGGCCGCCCAGCCGTCAGTCCCAGCTCCATCTGCTGAGTTGGAAAAATTTGTCATTCCCCTCTGGCCTCTGGAGTTTGGCAGAAGCCTGAGCCAAATGCTGACCAGGAGGAGCAGGGAGTTGGGGGTGGGGGTAGCTGAGAAAAGAGCCGGCAGAGCAGCTCCACAGGGAGGCCCAGGACACAAGGACAACCACACAGACAGGGCACCAGGCACAGGGGACAGAGAATGAAAAGTCCTGACATCCCCAGAAGCATGGCCCTGCCTGTCATCTTCAAAGATTCTGACTCAGAAAGCTGAGGTTAACAAAGTCCTAGGTAACCTTGATGAATGGTTCAAATCTTGTCACAAAGCCCAAGCACACAAAGATATCCTGGCTGGCCAATCTTGGGGAACGCTTCCAGGAAGCCCAGTGGGGCTTTTTCTTTTCCTGAGGGGATCCTTCTCAACAGCCACCGCCGCCGGAGCCAGCCCTGCCCCCTCTGGGCAGCACAGCTCAGTTCATCTGAGCCCAGCGAGTACTCCCCTCCGCTCCACCTCACCTCAGTGATGAACAGTATGCACTCCAGGAACATGTAGTCCTTGTGGTTCTCATTCACGGCCTTCTCGTCCACAAAGTGCCTGGGCTCCAGGTACGGATGGTCTGGGAGGAGCAGAACACCCTGGGGTTCAGATCCTGGCCCTCATACCACCTGGGCACCCAGCCTAACACACTGGATACCACCCAAGGGCCATAGTGTCACCCGGGGTGTCCTCAATACTCGACCTCAGAGCACTAACACAGGCCCTCCCCAAGTGCACAGCAGCACAGTGGTGACCCCACAAGACTGCAGTGGGGACCAGGGAGAGCTCAGTGGGCACAGGGCCCTGCGTTTGATGCCCAGTGCTGAAAGATGCCCATGAAGCTGAAGATCTCCTCTCCCCTACTGACCCGGCCACCAGTGTCACATCGGGTGGGTTCCCTGTAGCTGCATGGGGAGGCTGGTGTAAACACAGCTTCTGTGCTGCCAGGTGTGGAAACAGACACACCTGAGTACTGACTCTGACTCCGCAGCGATAAGAAACAGTCAAGTTACTTGTTCATGTATTTACTACACTATCTTTCCCATGGTGTGGTACCCAGACAGCCCAGGACCTCCTCTGTGGAGTCTCTGCTGTCAGGAGCCACACCGAGTAGCTGCGCTCCTGAGTCTGCCCTCAGCCTCCCCACAGCTGCATGACCTTGGACAAATGTGGTTGGCCTCTGAGCCTCAGTTTCTGCACCAGGAACATCCAGGAGCATGTGACAGTGACAGGAACTGAGCACACTGTCTTAACGGCTGCCAAAGACACTTTACAGGGAAGCAGGGAGGCAAGAAGCCTGGCATGAAGCAGGTTATTTGGTAGGCAGTTGGTTGGTTCCTCCCACATCGAGGATACTTGCTTGCCCCAGTGGTCCCAAGTGCTGGGCACCAGAAGAAGGCTGCAGGAGTGGGTAGCTTCACCAAGCACGTCTGAGCCCCACAGGAAGTGGGCCAGACCTCAGCAACTGGGAGCAGCTCCCTGATGGCCCCTGGCACACAGCTCCATAGTAACAGTGGATGACACTGGTCACCAAATCAAAGAGCCCCTAGTCTTCCATAGACAGCCCTGCAGCTGCTGTGCACAGCAGCCCACTCATGCAGGTGTGCACCCCGGCTCTGGTTGGAGTCCCTTCTTGTTATCTCAGTGGCACACTCAGCTGCTGTACCTGGGGGCCCCGTGGCCTCACAACAGCAGGTCGACAGCAAGCTGTCTCCATTAACAGGCACTCTAAGGCCTGCTTTATGAGTTGTCCCTGGATGTCCTAGGTGAGGTCAGGGGTCAGGAGCCCCTCAGTACCTATCAGCTGCGAACTGCCCCAGATGAAGGGCAGGAACTGGAAGTCGTCCAGGCCCCACACGCCCTGGCTGCCAGCTGGCTCCATCCGGTAGGTCTTCTGGAGTTTCCGCATAACTTCTAGGTAGCTGTGTAGGAAGGGGAGAAAGGCCGGGGGCCAAGGTGAGAGGGCAGCAGCTCTCGCTCTTTGGGAAACCGAGGCTAGGAAGCACCACTTCCCAGGGACATGCCTGCCAGGTAGGAGAGCTCAGGGGGAGACTGGGGAGAGAGACAAGCCCTGACTTGGAAAGTCCTGGCCTGCTGACAGTTCAAGGGCTCAGCAGAAGCCCTACTTCCCTAAGCTCGGGTGCTGCCAGGAAGGGCTGGAGGTCTGAGGACAGCAGCTCCTCCATGGGACCAGAGGCCACATGTTACCACCTGCAGGCTGTCACACACACCATGCATGCGACCCCAGCACAGCCAGCCAGTGCCTAAAAACAGTGGCTCTGCACACCTGGCTACCTGGCATGAGGGGTGCAGGTTGGAGGATGCCTGACTGGCCTAGATTAACTAGGCAGGCATGACCTCTCTTGCTCTCGGTTTCCCTGCTGCGTCCCACGACGATGGTGAGGATGAAGCACTCAGGAGGTTCCCAGGACAAGGACACACACACTCCCTGCTTTGCTGCCTTCTGGCTTTCCTGGGAGCCGAAGGCAAGGCTGGAGGGAGGAGCTGCCCTGGGCCCATCCATGGCCAGGCTTGGTCAGGACAGCATCAGAGCTGTGAAACACTTTGGAGACCCTCATGTCCCATCCTGGCCAGGAAGAGGAGGAGGAAGACCAAAGAGACCCCTGGGCCTCGCTCTGCCAGCCGCCCCAACCTCCCTCCTCACCGATTGAACACCTTGAAGACAATGGCTATCTGGTCATCCACCCGCAGCACCCCGATCTTGCAGAGGCAACAGAGGAAAGCGGCAAAGGCCGCCTCATGCCCTAGGGAGAGAGAGGTTGAAGCTGACAGTCTTGGAGAGAAAGGCTGAGGGTGCTCCTAGCTCCCTTGGAGAAGGAGGACCATGTGGGAGAATGGGGTATCTCCCCTGTCCAGTTTATTGAGCACCTGCAAGATAGGCAGGCACCAGGCAGACAGTGATGCTTGAGTCCTGCCCTCAGGGAGCAGGCCATCTGGTACGGACACCACAGTCACACTATCCAGTCACTGCTACAACTTGAGTGCTCCAGGAAAAGTCAAGGGTCACTGGGGCCAGTAGCTCTTCCATTTACTAAGGTGAGGCCTCTATCAAAGCAGGGACCGCCAACCCAGATAGCACCCGCTTCTCAGGTCCACGTGGACCCTCTCCTCAAAGTCCAGTCAGCCGGACCAATACGGATGACAGATCCAAAGAGCTCAGCAGCCAAGGACAAGCTAGGAGACTGGAGGCATCAGGTAGAGGGGAACCTACCAAAGCAGTGCTCTCGCTTCTCAAAGTGGTGGAAGAAGCTGTCTCAAGCTACAGCAGGTGTTCAATAAATGACCATCTGAGGGACAAAGTGGTACTTGCAAAGACCACCTCTACCAGAACAGCAGTCAGCCCTGCACGGGTCCCCCCTGGAGGACTCAGTGAGAGGCACAGCATCAGCTGCTCACACCCACTACTGCACCCTCCCTGGCTCGGCACCTGGCTGGCCCCAAGGGCTGCAGTACACAGCAAACTCGTATTTGGCTGGAGCAAGAAGCAAGCAGCCCCAGAATGAAAGAGGGGAGCAGGCAAGCCCAGAGCCCTCCAGAAGGCTGTGGTACCTGTGCCGTAGTCGATACGTGTGGAGTTGCCCACAGACTCCCTCAGGTAGACAGCCACTTCAGGCACAGCTGCTGCCAGGTGGGTGGGGACCACTGTGGCCACCAAGTTTTCTGCTTCCTGGTAACACAAGAGTCATAAAGTAGTGGCAGCAGATTAGGCAGCATCCAGAAGGGCAAGGGAGCACTGTGCTGATGGCTACAGGCAGGTACGCACTCTTACACAACAGAAAGACCATTCTCGGGCCGGCTATGGCCAAATAGCGCAGCAGATTAAAGCGTCTGCTTAGGCAGACTCAGTGGCTGGTATGCCCGTGCTAGCCCTACCCCTGGGGCGCGTGGAGACCTCTGAGACTGGGCGTGGTGGCACACGCCTATAATCCCAGCTCTTGGGAAGCCGAACACAGGCAGATCACTAGAAGTCCAATCTATGTAGTTAGACCCTCTAGACCCTGTACTAATAAATTTTAGTAAAATTTATTATTGTACCAATAAATAAATAAACAAATAAAAAACACTGTCCTAGGGTGGTGTAGCACCTGCTGGCAGCCTCCCCACATGGAGTTGGCTCTGGGAGTCAGAATTACTGTTCCCACAGTGACCACTTCTCTCCACACCTAGAGCAGCAAGACCCTCTCCCACAAATCAAGCAAAAGGGTTTTATTTATTTCTGTATGGTGGGCTGGGGAGATGGTTCTGTAGAATAAGTGCTTCCCTGGCAAGTGCAAGGGCCTGAGTTTTGTCCCCAGTTCCTCAAAAAAGAAAAAAAAAATCAATTATTTCTGTATGGTGGGGACACCTAAGCCCTAAACCTGTGCTAGTCAAGTGCTCTGTCAATGGAGCCACATCCACATCCCCAGTCATTTTTACCTTTTTGCTTTGTTTTTACTTTGATACAAGGTCTTTGTAAGTTGTTCATCCTGACTTCGACTTCTGAACCTCCTGCCTCAGCCTCCCAAATCATTAGGATCATAAGTGTGTAACACCGTGTCCGGACATATGGCACTCTTCATAACAACCAACACAAAATGTTCAGCCATGATAAAATGAATAGGCTGTGGGCATATTCCTATACAAAAAAAAAAAAAGAAAAAGAAAAAAAGAAAAGGAGCAACCACTACCCACGGCAACACGGATGAACCTCACAGATGTAATACCAAGCAAATGAGGCCAGGTATTGGTATGTCGCTCAAAAACAGCCAAAAGAATCAACATAAGGGATAGAAATCAGGGGCATGCTACCCATAAGGGCTCTGCTAGAGATGAAACACTGCAGCTTAACGTGAGTGATGGTAAAAGCACAAAAAGATGGGCCAAACTCTAGAACTCAGCAGCTTTCTTTTTTTGAATTTATTTTTATTTATTTTTTTAGCTTTCTTTTAAGCTAGACCTTAATGCAAGTCTTGTGCAAAAATTGGAGCACATGCACCTGTGGCACCCACCCAGGACACCACTCTCTGGGTCTCAGCTGCTGTACTCTGCGCCCTATGCTCAACAGTGGACCCTGGCACAGGAGTCTCCTAAACAGCCGGCAGCCACCGGGACCCCCACGCCACCCCAACGGACTTATGCTCCCATTTTGGGCATGGGCTCAGAGGCTGGACTGTTTGCTCTGTACAGGTAACATCTTTCAGTGATAAACACAAGAACACAGTGCCAGGTGTGATTGTGTACAACCAATGATCCCAGCACTTAGGAGGCTGAGGCAGGAGGATTGCTGCGAAGGCCAGACCAGCCCAAACTACATAATGAGACACAGTTTAAAAAAAAAAAAGTAAGTCCAGCCAAATAGCTCAGCAGATTAAAGCGCCTGCAAGCAGGCACAGGTGTTTGATCCCTGGGCCTGCTGTGTGGGCACCACCACCAGGGCACACTGAGATGGCAATTGAGACTGAGGGTGGGCGTACCTGCAATCCTAGCTCTTGGGAGACTGTAAACAGGCAGATCACTAGGAGTCCGATCTAGTAGTGAGACCCTGAACACCCTGTAAACCCTTCCCCAAAATGACAATAATAAATAATAACGACAACAAAAACCAAATAAGTCCTCTCTGCCCTAGCTTCCCCATCCCGCACAGCCGGCTCTCTAAGCTTACCAGGGAAGTGCTTATTCCACTGAGCCATCTCCCCGGCCCCTAAGCTTGTGCTTCCTGTGCACTGTTATGATACAGGAGACAGGGCCAGGCAAAGCTACCTGGGGGAATTGTTGGGAGTGGAGGAAGCTGGGAAATTGATCAAATGTGTGTAGGTGGGCTACACA